AGAACATATATATATATATATATATATATATATATATATATATATAATCTGACTAAATATTACGAAATTTTACAATTGTTTCGTAAGAAAAATCATTTCACTTGATCATTCGTTGTTTTTTTCAAACTTCTATCTTGGTTCAAGAATTTTACATTTTACTGCAATATTCTGTATGTAAATCAAAAAATGAATATCTCGTTTTGTGCGAGTGTCATTCATTAAGGATCTTCAAGAGTGCGAACATACCAAATCGAATTGAAAACGTCACTTCAATGCGTCTTTAACAGTGCGTTCTCAGTTTGCAAGGACTTTTCTTGTAAGTCAGACATATAAATATCTGTTCTTTGCAAAATTGTGAAGTTGAGAGAGAAGCGTGTAAATTTGTACTTCGACTTCAGTCGGAGTTTCGCGGAAGCCATCCGATAGAAGGACTTTATGACGCGTGGCGTCGCGACGAGTCGGGCCATTAGACACCGGGTGCATATTGTGAGGGTGTAAAGGAGCACGTGGACAATAACGGAGCGACCAAATTTTATCATCCGTTTCCATCGCGTATGCAACAGTCAGCGCGGCGCGGCGGCGCGCAGTCTCCGTTTTCTCTTATCGTCGGGAAACTTGAAGCAGCTACCTGACCATATAAGATATATGGTATGCCTTCTTTGATGAACATGAGACTATGTAAAACGTAATAAATTAAAATAAGCGAAAACAAATTAAACTAGTCTAACAAGTTATATTCACTCCTTTATCCTTCAATCAATTTTCTATCTATACTCCATTATTCATGTCATTTATTGATTACAATTAAAGTAGTTATTGCAAATTATTCTCTCTTTTATTGTATAGTAATTGCGAATTTATCGTAGAAAATAGCTATAATTTCATTTAAAAAAAATTAAAGTTTCATTGCAAAAGTTACTTTCGATGGAAGTAGCAATTGACAGCGTGACTTTTGCAAAGGCGACATAACATCTTGCCGTATTCACTACACAAATGACGAATAAGAACAGAATTACGTATGATTGTCCACTCGTGGTTGACGAAACGCGGCACGGGGTGCGTGACGTTCCTGTAAACGTTCGCAGTTCCAAGTTGCGCGTATCGAGCAAACAATTCACGCACACACAAACTGCAGTTACTTAAATATTTCTCGCCGATTGAAGGTATACGCATGCAGCATGCATGGTTGTAATTGCGTGCGCTAATTTTACTATATTAGAATTTATTTAGAAATGCGATTACTGCACTGGTTCTTATTGCAAATGCCTAATCGTTGCAAAACAATTCAAAATGTTCTGAATTTTAAACGTTGATCATTTCTAATTATCGATTGATAATAGTTTGAATGTATCTTAATGTTTAATATACACGATTGAGTTGAGGTACTACCTTGTAAATTTTTTTTCTTTGAAATATTAGGAGCACTTGATTAAATAATGATCTTTATCTTTTCCTTTTTTAATATAACTTTGTAAGTAAAAGTGTGTTAAAATGTATGTGAGAATCACTTAATTTTTATATACTTGTAAAAGTAATAAAAATTAGTTATTAGACGAACATCATATGTAAATGTAAAGGACTAAAAACTATTATAAGAATTAATTAAATAAGCAGAATAATAAATTATAAATAATGATATACAAATAAAATAAATAGCAAAAATGCAGAATACGAAATAGTTCTTTAAAATTGAAATAAAAAAATTAAGTTATTTTTGTCATATTTAACACTTAACATTTTACATAACAATACATAAAATATCAATAAAGCGAATTTTAAATTAAGAAACGAGAGAGCGCAAAAAAGTAAGTCAATGAATCGTTTTAAAAGTAATATTTAAAAATTTTAATGATAAGAAATTAATTCCAAGTTAGAGTTTCTTTTGCAATTTTGGTAAACTTGGTCCTTCCAGAAAAAAAGAAATATAAAGGTATAATGATATACATATATACATATAACCAGATCTTATAATAGAATTCACGTCGCAATTTCAAATCGCTCGAGCATTTTTGCGGTTATAATTGCGACAGTGCGGTATCATAATTATCCGGACTAAACCAGTGGTCCTTCTCGGATAATTAGACGGTGGCGAACGAGGTACCGACACCGCGGCCAATTCAACATAGTGCGGTATCAGAATTTCTCGTCGCCGTGGGTCTAAATCTCCCATCAGACGATGTCACGGGAGAAGAAGCTTTTATATATATATTATAGCAATAATTTACTGAATACTTACTGAGACACGTTACCAGGCCTGATAGTCGCTGGTATTTGATATTCGGGGTGCAGCACGCCGGTACGGTTGAACTCCTGGACGCGGGTCGGTCTGTCGGCGCCGAATGGTCTCGGGCTGCCGATCGTCCGATAAAATTGTTGCTGCTGCTGTTGTGGCTGTGTACGCTGCTGCAACTGCTGCAATTGCTGCCTGGCGCAGAACGGGCAACCGGCGCAACTGCGTGCGATCGACGCGAGTACCATCAAGACACCGATCATGATGCACGACATGGTGATCGCGCCAAGAGATAGTCCCCCGGTCTCTTTCGTGGATAATGAAGACGATGACGGCGACAACGACGGCGACGTCCGTCGTTCAGTGGCGAAGGAGTTCGACTGTGCCGAACGAGCGAGCGAACTGCCGTCGCCGCCACCGCCACCGCCGCCACCGCCGCTGCCGCCGCCGTCTAGGAAACCACGCCGGCAGCCGACGAAACGAAGTAACCCCTCTCGGTTCTTAATCGGACGACTCCCGCGTTCGCCACTAGTGTTCTGATAGAAACCCCTCTTTCTCCCTGCCCCACACCTTTCTCGCCGATCCGATGATCTCGCGTAGTAAGCCTGTTAACCCTTACGTTCTTACCTGACCCGATTCGCAATTTTACGAGAAATGTTAATGAAAACAATGCATCTTCTATTATTAATATGTATGTCTTCGCACAATATGAACAAATTTATCTCGTTCTATCTTAATTATCTGGAATACGACACTGTCTTGCAACATTCTCTTTCATTGCAATGTGTTTATAATAGTTTTACTATAATAACTCTATATTTTTTATATTTTTTCGTTCTTATATTATTTCTTATTTTTATTTAAGTATTTACTTAAATATCCAGCAAGCTCAATTTTATCAATCTCCTGTTCTTGATTTTCAAATCTACCGAATGCAAGAATTCAATTATTTAGTCTTGGAATTAAAAAAAAAATTTTTTTATTATTCGTTATTTTTTCAAATCATGTCTAAACGCAATTATGTGTATATACTTGTTTCCCTTGGCGAGGGATTCAAATTATAAATAAACATTTCTCTGTTTCCCAGTTTGATTTCTTTTTACATTTATCTTTTAATCTTCGCGAACACATTACTTATCCAGGAGAATTCTTTCATCTTCTCTTTCTCATCTTTAATTTCTGTCTATGATTGTCTTTTAATCTTCATAAATACGTTGCTTCTCCAAGAAAGTAAGATTGATCGTAAACCTCGGGGTATACGATAATAACGCGATAACGATATCGAGATCGAGTTTGCGAAATTTGCACCTCCCACCCACATCAGGCCAACATCTTCTCGATGAGAAAGAAGGTGATTGTCGGCTTCATACGGCAGTGGGTATCGGCTGGTTAAGGTAAAACAAGGTGGACTAGAGGGGAGCCGGCGCGGCGCGGCGCGGCGCGGCGTGGCGCGGCGAGAGGCACGGTGCGGCGCGGGCGCAGCAAACGGCCTTTCTGTATCAACGGGGCGCGAGGAAAGAAGGAGCCGATATGACGCGAAGAGATCGTGCATAGAGGGAAGTTATATACGGTACGGCGCGCTGTATCATGGACCAACCATGGGACGATGATGACAGCAGGTCTGGCGAGTGGCAGGCCAATAAATCATGGCCTGCGGTGTGGGAACCTCTGCCTACATGCTACATGCGTATGGGCGTACGCCATCGGTAAAACCTTTACTCCTGTGCGGGGTAGACCCGATCGCGCTGTGTGCCGACCTGGCGCTGCGTGTATACGTATACGGGGCGATGTAACGCGCGCACACGCTCGCGCCCACCATGTGCTCGCTCTCGTACGTGTGTGTGTGTGTGTGTGTGTGTGTGTGTGTTCGTGTGCGGGGCATCGTTATGCACACATCGTGTTACATTGTTGCGCTGTGGAAGCCAATTCGCTGCGATGAGTGACGGTCCGACTTCATGAAGTTGGGCCTTTTTTGGCAGTCATTTTTGTGTGTCCGCCGCTTGGGCTTGGACCCGCGGGACGCCGCCGCGGCGGCGAAAAGGCGTGCGACGATGGCCGTTTCGTACTCAAACGGTTTGCTTCCATAAACAGAATTGCTTATCGACTTCAGAATGATAGTGAGAGGAGAGCTCTCTCTCTCTCTCTCTCTCTCTCTCTCTCTCTCTCTCTCTCTCATTTCTCGTAGAGTCGAGGGTTAATAGACTATCAGTGCTTGTTATTATGAGCTAATGAAACACTGTTTTCACAAGCTATTGATTATCATAAATTCTAGAATACTAGTTTGCAATCTAATCATCCTAATCTTCAATCTAATGCAATATGTTTATAATAGTTCATAATAGTTTTGCAATAATAATTTTTATTCGAATCCATATATTTTTTATATTTAAATTTTTTTATTTTTCATTAATATTTCATTTTTTTTATTAACTATTTTTATTTTTATTTTATTAACTGCACGTAAATATTCAACTTCAATTTTATCAAACCGATGGCTTATTTTGAAAATCTTTAAGATTATGTACTTCGATGTTGAGGATTTCTATGCACCTAGCAACATACGATTTTTGTATATCGTTGCCGACTTGGACGAAAGGGAGGCAATTGAACGATCGTAAAGGGCCCAGATAGAGTCTGCGAAGCTGGCGCCCATATCCATCGACCGACTTCTCTCGGCCTCTGCGAGAAAGAGGAGGCGGGGCCCTCGCATAAATTTCCATTGAATGCGCGGCCCTATACTGGCCCGCAAGTCAATTCAGCGTCAAATAAAAAATACGTTTATGAGCAAAAATGTCGGACATTACGTCAAATATACGGTTCTTATAAACGTTATTATTAAGTACTTTAGAATATGATGAATGTGTAAATTATATAGTATCTTCTGACTAGTTTGACAAATTCTTTCTCAATACCGTTGTCTTTTAGTTCATTAATATTATACGTTGATATTGCATATAAAACTAACTGAATAATTATATAGTAATCATCCATAAAATTGTGAAATTAAAATTCTCTTGAACTCTCTTTATACTGTAATAACTTGCAGAATAAAAGTTTAAGAGAATGACTTGCGCTTTATATGCTATAATCAGTAAGACTGAAACGAGCGCGAATTTTTCGATACGTAGCTGCAGAAAAAATCAAAGACTACCCTGCAGGTCAGAAAACAGTGAAATGCGAGACTTCTAACCGTAAAACGAAGAACAAGGATCGCTGTGGCTAATGCTGTCGTGCGAAATTTCTAAATTTAACACCGTCTGAAACATCTCGCGTGTGTGTTTCCCAAGCTACAGCAAAAATTGACTAATCGATTGAGTTTAATGAAATATAATCTCTCTTTAAAAAAAAAGGATTGAATAAATATAATTATATAGAATGAAAAATTGAAATGAAAAATTGAATGAGACATTGAAAAATTTTGTCAAGATATTAACTTATCAAAGCTATCTTTTATCGCATATAAAAATTTTGTATATTTTACAATATTTATGTATTAAATACATAAGTATAACTTGTATTTAAATATATAAAAAATGAAATAATAA